AAGTTCATTTGTTAAAACATTTTCATAATTAGATTGAATCTAAATAATTAATATGTAATTTTAAAAAGTTTTTATATTAAAATTTAATATATTAATATATAACTTATAAAATTTAATATATCCAATTAAATATAGGATGTAATTGCAATAGTAAATCAGTCAAATTTTATAAAGAACACTATTGTGTTTTGGTATAAGTTTGTAATTCATCTCCATTAATTTTCATTGTACGAATTCCTTCTTCAAGTAACTGATTAGGTAAATACGATTTATTAAAAAATTTTGTTATATGTCTACAAGTATCTATAAAAGTTTTTATTTGATCAATTTTAATAAAATCTTCTACAATCAAATTTATTAAATGAGAAATACATCATATATCTAAAATATGTGAATAATCATGATTTGTAATTCTTCATATAACTATACAATTACTTCCAGAATCTGTTATGATTATTGAAATTTTTCAAGATCAATTGAAGTTATTATTGTATTTATTTCAGATATTAGAAATTCTCTAATATTTGATTTGTTAGAGTAATCTTTTAATATTACCAAGTATTCTTTATAATCAACTGTAATAACAATATAATTATATATTGATGAGCCTTGAGGAGATGACCATCCATCTAAGACTAAAAAAAAATTAATAAATATATTTATTTTTTTAAAAATAAATTAATAAATATATTATTTTTTTTAAAAAAAAATAATATATTTTATTTACTTAAAGTTAAATTGTCATTTTTTTCTAAAATATTAGAAATTTTCTTATTAACATTTATTATTTCTTTCTTAAGAATTTGATTAGATAATGTTATATGCCTAGGCGGATGATATGCAGAATTAAGTTGCATAAATAAGTCTTACATAAAAAGATTGTCAATGATCTCAAAAGGTATATTACATCCAACCCAAGCTTTTAATATAGCATGATCAAGTGCATTTAATGATTTATAGAAAGTGATTCTGAATTATTTATATTAACAGAATCAATTGATTTGGACATTTTGTATTTGAAGTTCTTCGATAATTATTATGTTGATTTTCAATTTTATCCTGCCAATATTTTTGTATATCCTGTGGACAACTAGAACATTCATTGGCTAAATGTGATTCCATTATGATTGGTATTCCTCTTTTTCAACATTTAGAATAATAATCACATCAAATAGAATAGTATTTCCCATTTTTTTGTTCGACGATATAAGCATTCCATATTTCTCCTCAAGGTCGACCACCAGAATTTGATTTTTTATTAATTGAAACTAAACAGTCATTAATGATAATTGAATCATTATCAATATTATTTGACATTTTGGAATAAGTTATTAAATTATTTGTTTTGACATTAGCTTTTTATACTAGTCATGTAATTTAATAAGTTTAATTTAATATATTTCATAATTTGATAATAATGTAATTTAATATATGACGCAATTTGGTGATAATAACGAAGTTTAATACATATATAATATATACGTAGTTGGCCCTTACGTAGTAGTTGACCCTTACATAATTTGAACAACATTTTTAACTAGTTTTATCGTTTGTATTTTAACGGTTTTAACATACAATTTATATTAATATCAGTTTTGTCACGTGAAAAAACCCAAAACATAGTAACATTAAAAGGTTATCTTGGCATCACTAGTATGAATCCAACTTTCTCTATAATTAATCACCTTAATAACTAACTCTAGATATAACGAACTGTAAGTTTATACTGGTTTGTTATATTTAGGTATAGAAAATGTAATATACTCTTAAGAAACAATAATCTTATATAGCAGTTTTTTTCTTCAGGACCATAGGCTCATTATACATTACAAATTGTCTCTTATATGTTGGTGTAAAATTAAACTAGAGTGATGAAAATAGCCACACCATTATTGATAGTATCTTCATTCAGGAGTAGACTAAGCGCAGATTCGCTTTCTGTAAAACAAACATAATTTGAGAATATAAATATGCGATTATTTTTTTACTGTATTACGCTGTTTCATATGACCTTCCAACTGGTATGTAATATAAGACTCTGGATTTCGGGTTACTACCAACTACTTGTCATCAGTATCTGCATTAAAATTAACATTCTAAATTTTAAAATTGATCTATTACGCTTAATAAGATATCGATACATGATGACATTATACTGTCGTGTCTAAATATCTTTATAGAAATCATATAAAGTAGATACTAAATTCCCTAATACAGTAATACTCATTTATATTCAAACCTAAACTTTTAAGCTGATAAATTATATCCTAAAAATCATTTTCGCTTTCAAGAGGATTGTTACTTTGACTTGAGATTCTTTCAAAAATCATATTGTTGATCTAATTCTAACGCTAATCTGATTTTTTGATTTCACTAAGAACTATAGTATCCCTTCATTCATCCTTATGCATCAATTTATCCTCATGTTTCCTTAATACTAATTTTTTTCTCTGTATCTTATCATCTGTTAATTTCATTAATTCCATACTTTTATATGCCATTGTAATAATCATGTATTTTGTTTTTTATCATTTCATAGTTGTATTGAAAAAAAAGTAATGAGTCAGGATTCATGCCACCTATCACCAACTATAACCAAATAAACTTATCGGATATTATCCCGCTCATAAACTTAATTTAAAACCGGAGGCAGATTTTACTATCAGTCCATCTATTGATTACTTAAACTTTATTGGTATGCGAAATTAAAGCTTTAAGTCTATTTAATTACAATTAAGTAGTAATATTTATATAGCATTTGGTCCAAATGACCTGTTAATAATGGCAACAATAATAATAGTGGTGGTGACCCTTTGGTTTAACAGTCAATCTTCCAAATTTAATGATGTTAAATTATAAGAAAACAAATAATCTACAATTTAAGGTAGGTAATAAACTATTAAATCTACTAAATCTACATTAAAAAGATGAAATATTCCCACGTTATAGATAATTCTATCAGTTTTGCTGCCAAATGATGTGAATAATTTAACTAGTTGTTTATATAAATAATAAAATGGTGTATTATCCGTTTAGCACTCAAAATTGGAAATTTATTAGCGACTTAGTATTGTTACTGCTAATGGTTTTGATGGATTAAAATTAGCTAATTTATTTTATATTATCTACGTGAATTTTGGGTGTCGCCAAACGTAATTCTTGAATTTCGGATTTAACACTAATAGGTATGCCAGTGATGGGACTACAGTGATTAAAAAGTGGTGACGCTTAATTGTCACATTTAATAATTTATTAAGGATCGAAATTTTTTGATAGATCACAGCGTATGATATTTTAATTTTTAGCATTTTTAGTCCCATCACTAGGTATAGCTTATTAACTTTGAAGAATAATATATGTTTACATTACGGCATTAAAAATGGGCAATGTAATAACTTTATGCAAGCAATATCAATGTTTTAACCGTTACCTGTTACCTATTCTTATAATTCTTGCTTATTTGCATAATTCTGAACTTTACATTCTACCGACCAAGGTTGCTTTTTCAAGCATCAGTTTTTCATTACTTATTACGTGAAAAATTGGATGTAACTACGTATTAGTTAGTATGTAATAGTAAGTATTAGTGCATATAAAAATTGCCCATCCTTAGTTTACATCATCTCATCATATTAAGATCGATTCTTGAATCGATATAATTGGATTTTTTCAAAGTCTGGTAAGCCGTGTCTTGTGTGAAGTGAAATATCCAAAAATCGATTTTCCTTTGCGGCACCCATATATTAAATAAATAATTAACTATATACATTTTATTAACTTGTAGATTGATATTGATTATCCTTTTAAGCTTCCATGCAGTTATCAATTGGAATTTGGTTCTGTTTTTTCAAATTTCCTAAGAGCAATACCAACGCAATTAGGCGGTAAGAGTTTGACGATTACAGCAGGCCAATATCCTATAAATATAGCCTATAATTTCATTGATTTTGTAAATATTCAGGTAAATTTTATCTTTTTTTTTTTTTTTTTTTTTACATAAAAGTGATATAAAATTTTAGGCATTTCATCTTAATATAAATAACATGCCCGCAAGCGCTGGATAGACAAAATCGCACAAATTTTGGACTCTTGGAAAGTTTTTGTAAATAATTCAAAACTCGTTTTAGGCGTTGAACTTGGTGACATTTTCGAATATGTTTCTTCGAATAGTATTAAATCAGACATTGAGAATCAACACCTTCAAATAGTAAATGACACAAATCCTAAGTTTCCTTTAACCAACAATGAACTGATCTCAGATCAATGTAATCGTTCATCATATGCATATTTGTCATGGGAAAGTATGGCTTTGTTAGCAACGCGAAACCACCTTATATTTATCAACAACCAAATTCGTCTAATTCTAATCCTAATCCGTCAAAATTCTGTTACTTTCTATGAAGATTATCAATCGTTAAATGTTAAACTCCATATAACGCTCTTATGCTATTGTGATCAGTAAATAAAAAATAACTAAATTATTGATTGATGCAGATCATAGTAGACTGAAGGATAATAAAAATTATTTACTTATGCTTTCTGTCTTTTTTCTAATTAGACCGACCTTAAATCTAACTTTAATTGAATAAGCACTAATTATATTTCTTTTTACTCTTATTACAGAATTTAAAAAGCAGCCAAAATCATGTATTTTAAAATAGTAAGTTTGACATTTAAATTGTAAATTGTTATAACATTGTTCAATCGGTGTATTTATTCTAATATCTTAACAAGACGCATCAATTTAAACTCATTATATTTACATAGATCCAGTGAATTAACAGAAACAGATTCTTTTAATTTAAATTCAGGAAATTTATGCACGTACGTACCATATAAATGCTATTTCATTTGTGAGAATACAATTATTGAATTAACGCATTTATAATAAGTATTCAAGTTTGTAACATTTATCTTTATATTATTCTCATTAATATAGTGGCAGGTATAAAGATCATTTGTTGTTAAATATAATGCTATAAACCATTTGTTCTTGTTGTAGCGCGAAGTATTGATATAGATTTTCGCACATGTCAAATCAAACATTACAGGATAAGCAAAAATTTTACGACATAAGTCTGCGTAAGTCAAAAGTTGCTACTTAAGTCAAATGTTACGGCATGCGTCAATTACGGCATAATGTCATTGAATTACGTCCAATTGACGTTATACAGTCATAACTTTACCATAAGTCTGCATCTATATGTACTCCATTTCATTTTCCGATTTTAAAATTTTGAAATACAAATAAGATTTTTCAAACTCTCATTTAATTTCAAATGCGCCACTTATTTGTTAACTTCAAAATTTAATTTTACTAATGGTAAGGTATTTTTAGCTGTTAAAATAGTTTTTTTAATTGTATAAAAACATTTGTAATTCACGGATGATAATGTGTTTCCGCCATATTAGTGCACATAAAAAAAATTGTGATATTTTATTTCAAAATAAACCAACAAATTTAATAACAGATACAAAAGAGATATACGAGTTAATTCCATATATTGCTTCTGAAATATTCAACGATGAAAATATACAAAGGCATCAGATATCTACAGCTTACCATAAATTCTCGAAATGGTGGACATGGGCGTTATTTCGAAAATTTACGGTATATGGGAAATGTCAAAAGCCCTTTCATGAATTTCTTATTTTAGATATACTTAATGGTCTTCATCCGGAAAACATTAGCAACTTATCACAGTTTTATATTAATTTAATGAAAAATGGTCATTAAACAAGCCAACTTCTGAAGACATTAATATAAAAGAAACATTTCCCAGAAAATATAACGAACTCACCTATCAAAAAAATAAATCCGCAAGTAATATATATTAGCAGACCACTAAGTTTTTAGATTAACACCGCACTATGGATAAATTAAAAAGCAGTATAATAAAACGATTAAAAAATGATCAATCGTGAAGAAAAGCACCCGGATCACATATGCACTTCAAAGCTCATCAACACACGCAATATACTCCAAAATTACATGACAAAAATAGATATTAAAATGCTTTTTTAAAAATTAAAATTATATTTAAAAAGGTTATAGTAATTTTTTAAATTGTAACTGTATAGATATTAAAAAAGTTCACAAAAAAAAAAGGTAACCTATTTCAATTGAAAATTACTGTAATATTATTAATTTTGATACTTTCGAAATCAATTTAATTCAAGGTTTATGCTTTTACAGTTCGTGTAAAGTTAGTAATTATTGATATGGCAATCAAAGTTACAAGAGTTTGTTTTATTCTATTAGTCTTGAATTACTGTATATATCCTTTTTTGAACGTTTTCCGGAACCTCCCTAGTGTCATCAACTTAAAAAATTTCGCTATCAGGTCAAATTAAAATTAAAATCAGGTATAACATAAAGTTAAATAAAAATACCCAAATCCTAACGCTAGTAGCGTAATTTTTTTAGATTGGTAACACTAGGGTCTCACGTATTTTCGGAGAGTTATAGGTCTGAAGATAATTTTCTATGCCTTCGATTGTTAACGCATTTGGATAAACGATACGGATAAACACTGTTTTATCTGAATTATAGACGGATTCAACCACGAAGTAAAAGAATTCATTCTTATCCGTAATGCTAACTGGCGATGTTACCCAAACTATTTGGGACGTCCCGAACTACGTGATGAATAATATTGCATGAAGTATTTACTAGAGGTGCGGGCGAATCGTCCCAATGATGTTACGGCTTAAGCCATAACTAACTAAAGCTTATGTCGTAACTAGTTACGGGGATGGCTAAAGCCATGTACCCACGTGATTTTGACGTTTTATTAAAATTAAGGTTAGGATTGGGGTTAGGTTGGTA